GTTTAGTGTTGCTTTCCAAAAATTAAACCAATTTCATAATTTGCTGCTGCATATGGAATCTATGGATCTATTAGAAGCAGTCATTTACTATGGAATTTTTCTGGGGAGACAAAAGGAAGAACAAGTTGAACGACCTGCAGTATCACAGGAGGAGCTGGTTAGAAATATGATGCAGATACGTCTGGAGTAGCTAGTTAATATATTGTATTGTTGATTTATAATGTATATTTTTACACTAAATTTTACTCTCTTTTCCTTGTTCCAAATATTCACAGACGCAGTAAATTTTAAATTGAAAATGAAAGCTTCAAGAATTTCAAGTGGTATTAGAATGTCTACTATACAAAAGAGATGGGCTTCACTATACACAAATTGCATTAATTGTGGAAATCTGAAACCTACCTTTATCCAACTCTCAAAGACAGGTTTATCATTACCAACTATATTGTTTTTATGTTGAATTGTGTGGTGGTATGAACGGATATTTTAATCCGTTGTTTCACGACGCAACTCGTGATTGTGTAAGACCAAATTTGGGTGTCGCACAGGATTCCAAAAATTTAGTTTTTTCTCTCGAGATGAAATACTCTTGTGATATGTGCATAAAAAGGGTATACAGTGACTAAATTAGAAGCGGAAATGCGACCGGATGAAACCATGTTCTTTTTGCACTTCAAAGAAACTTAATTGTATATACTCTGAACAAATGCAATACCACTTGTACATTACCAGTGTCGAAAGTAGAATAAAAAAAATGGAAGAATCCCTACTTCAGCCAAATAACTATGTTATCCAGAATGCGGAAAAAACTTTACCAACAGAATCCAACTTTACCCTCTCACCAGAGCTGCAAACGGAATTATTTGGAAAGGACCATGAGCACCTCCTACGGCTTCGGTTTGAAAGGTTTCCATGTACAATATTTGGGGTTACTGAAGGATATTATAGACAGTCAGCCAAGATATTTTGGCCATTACGTTTTGCATTATATGCTTCAGGAGCATTCTTCGTCAAAGACGATCAAGTCCCTAAAGGTATTTCAAACAGAATACTTTTAGTCAATATTTACCTACAGAAAGCGCAATCTTTTAATTATATGCAATCCCCAGACCATATTTCAGTTCTAACACTTGAAGTCATTTCCAACTTGTGCTATCGTAATTCTCTCTAACCATAGAGCTTGGATTTATAGATGAAGCAAAGGTTTACTTTAACTTGACAGTACACATTGCAAAGATGTGCAAGATTAACACGGAAGAAGGGATTTCAAAAGTTTCTCCATTCGACTATGAACGAGAAAATGTGCGGAGAATATGGTGGTTGCTTTATAGAAATTATTCTACTGCAGGTCATCTTTTCAGTGACGCAGTGATTAACGAACACGATAACCAGTTGTTACTTCCATCTTGTAATTTCTGCTTTGAATCACCTGGACCAGATGATTACTTTGGAGTTGATATCATGAATAGTGCTGAATGGCACACAATCACAACTCCCAATCTAAATTTGGATACATTACACATGATATTACAACGAATACAGGTTAAATTAAAGCAATATTTTGAAATGCATCTATCCAACAACAATTTATTATCACTGTATGCCGCTGGGGCGATCAATGCATCATTAACTGAATGGATGGAGTCATTTTTACCACAGTTTCGCATTCACTTATCCAACATAATAAGAAATACTCAAAACGATCTAGAGATTGACTGGTATGCTATATATCTAGCACTTGTATATTGCAAGCTCCGGATCAGTTTGGTATTACCAATGATGATGAAAAACATTATTAAAGGCAAAAATGTGACAAAGCAGCTGTATTTTGAAGAAGCGCGACAGGCTGCCATATCTAGTGCTCAAATCGTTTCTTTGTTGAACGAGCGAAACCCTAATCTGTATTATGTAGCAGCCTCAGTGATATTTGCACTATTCCCTGTAGGGTTTTTCTTGCAGTGTTGCATGAAATTAGGATTAGAGAACACTAAAGAGCCTTATAACATGGTTTTATTCGGTGTAAAGCGTACGAGCGTCGGGTTTCAAAAGACAGATAGTCTCTACTCTATCCTCTCCTATCTGGAAAATAGTGACTTGGTAGAATCCGTGTTATATTTTGGAATCTTTACTCGTAGACAGAGGAGAGATTTTGCAGAGTATCCCACGCCAAATCACATTGATTTAATGGATAAATTAGATTTGAATAAATAATAATGCAGACACACTTGTAGAAGGACCTTGTCGTTCTGTAATTAAAGAGTAGGCGAATCTTTTTAATGTGTTTACTTGTGATTTGATCCAACACTGAACAAATGCAAACTACCACTCCATCGCCCCTGACTTTGATATTACCACGTAAATTAACAGTTTAACTTTGTGATTATCCGTCCAGCCACCTGGATTATCTTACTGGATGGTACCTTCAGAAATTTGAGAATAACTGCATCTAGTATGTTGCTTGTATAGCTTCCGACTTGGAATCATGGTGAACGGTTCCCCATTTAAAACCAGCGGCTGATTTGCAATAAACCAAATTTCTTTTCAAGTTGCCCAAAACCAGAATTTTGTTGCCGCAAAGGAAAATCTTCAACTCATGATTTACAAGAACATGCGATACGCCTGCGATTTTTGCACCAAGAGAGTAATTGTAGACTTAATCAGAAACGCAAGTGTGATAAGCGATTCCCCTGCGGATTGTGCGAAAGCAAGTTGATAAAGTGTACATATTCTCATCAAAAGGATTTGGAACTGCAGTTGATGAATGTCGAGAAGCGGATTAAAGCGCTTCAGCAAAACCTATTGAAACCGAATAATCAAATATACCAAAGGAGGGAAAAAGTTCTGCCAATAATCAAGCATATTACTCTCTCCAAGGACCTGGAGATTGAATTATTTGAAAGGAACCATGACCATTTACTTCAGTTGCGATTCAGTAAATATCCCTGTATTGTATATGGGGTAAAAGAAAGCTATTACCGACAATCAGCAAAAATATTTTGGCCATTGCGGTTTGCTCTATATTCTAGTGGAGCGCTGTTCATCAAAGATGATCAGGTGCCGATTGGAGTAGCCAATCGATTAGAACTAGTAAATATTTACCTCCATAAAGCCCAGTCGTATAATTTTATCGAGAACTGTACTCCGTTGACAGTATTGACCTTGCAAACGATTTGCAATGCATGCTACCGTAATAATTTCTAATTTAGAATTGAATTTAACTCAGGAAGCCATCTTGTACTTTAGATTTGCATTGCAGCAAGCCAGAATTTGCAAGATTAATAGCGAAGAAGGAATTGTGCGACTTTCGGTTTTCGATTACGAAAGGGAAAATATCAGACGTACTTGGTGGGTTCTATTCAGAGATTATTCAAATTTCTCAAAGTTGCTCGGCCCAGATACTATTAATCACCAAGAAAACCAAATTTTTCTTCCAACAAGCAACTTTTGGATTTGAGCCAAATACTGCCGAAGCTTATTATGGAATAGAAGTAATGTCTAGTAACAGTTGGTACATTCCTACACCAGCCGGATTAGAAGTAGATGGATATTACATGTTAATACTGAAAATTCAAGCCAAAATGTTTCACTACTTTGAAATTGAACTGTCAAGTGCAGTTCAACAATTTTATTACTGCGCTGGCGCAATCAGTGCTTCGCTCAATGATTGGTACTCTTCTTTCAACAGCCATTTTGAAAACGCAAATTTAAAAATACTGGGCAAAATAAACTACCAACAAGAAATCAACTGGTATACAATGTACGCCGCGTTGATCTACTGTAGTGTCAGGATAAATCTATTTTTACCATCTTTTATGCGAAATGTGATTAAGGAGAAGAACGTCAGAAATCAGTTCTATTTTCAGGAAACAGTACAAGCAGCTAGGCTTAGCGCGCACATCATAGAATTAATAATGCACTACAATCCACATTTGGAATATTTTCCAGGTGCGGCACTTTTGAACTTGTTTCCATGTGGATTTTTCCTTCTCTGTTGTTGTAAGCTCAAGATTGAAAACATTAATCACTCTTACCGGTTAATGCAAAATGGAATTAAACATACTTGCAACGCTTTCCAAAAGCTTGACAAGTTTTATCAAGTACTTAATCTTTTGGAGGATAAATCGCTGCTTGACTGTGTGCTATATTACGGTATATTTATCTCAAGGCAAACTCAAGAACTCATGGAAAGACCGGCAAGCGAATACATTGACTTGTTTGCTGAATTGAAGATAAATAAATAGTAGCTAGACTTTGGTTTAAACTGCCTTTTGAGGAGATATAGCTTAATCGTAAATCTGACAATATCAATTCGAGTTAATATATTCTCAAGCAAGTTTTCCACAATTGCCCATCTGGAATGTCTTTTGATTTACAATATATTCAATGGAATCTGTTTCCAGTTAGATGGTAATACAAATTTTATTTTAATCGATACATCCAACCTACCATCACCAGTCTAACATTTCCAGGTACAGGAAGTCATACTGGTCTGTTCCCATTTCCAATTCCACGGATAAATTAGTCATGATTACTGCTAGATCTCGGTAAAATGCAATCCACATTTTTCTTAAAATGATGTACAAAAAAGTGCGATATGCTTGCGACTACTGCACCAAGAGAGTAATCTTTGACTTACTTAGAAACGCAAATGCGATAGAAATCTGCCGTGCGCATTCTGCGTGAACCGGAATGTTGCTTGCCACTATTCACAACAAGAAGACTTTGAAAAGCACCTGCAGAGTGTTGAAAAGAGAATTAAACACATGGAGGAAACCTTCCTCAGCCCAACGAATGGTCTATTTCAAGCAAGGGAAAAACTACGCCCGATTGTGAAAGAAATAGTGTTATCCAAAGAACTAGAATGGGAATTGTTCAATACCAATCACGACTACCTTCTTAAACTAAGATTCGAAAAGTTTCCATCAATTGTTTTTGGAATAAAAGAAGAGTTCTATCGACAATCCGCGAACCAATTTTGGCCACTGCGATATGCACTATATGCCTCTGGAGCTCTTTTTATGAGGCAGGAGCAATTCGACTGTTAATCGAGAGGTTGGTGGTTCAAGCCCACCTGGGAGCGAATTTTTTCTTCCACACAAGTATGTGATTTGGTGATTATATTTTTTCTGTATTCGGTCTTGGGCATATTTCGTCGGGCTGGGATGGTTACATTTTTAGAGCCAAATTTAAATTTTAAAAAATGATTTTTAAAAAAGTGCGATATGCTTGCGATTTCTGCACAAAAAGAGTAAGGCCCATCTTATTTAGAAGCGCAAGTGTGATAGACTGCAGCCATGTTCATTGTGTGTTGCCAAGCACAATAAATGTGAATATAGCGGCCAAAAGGTAGTTGAAGGACAGCTGGAACTGATTGAAAGGCGAATCAAGCGAATGGAACAAAATCTGCTAATACCCGGAAACTACAACCGGGAAAGAAGAGATCAACTTCAAACGCAGATCACCAGTATCACACTTACCAGAGAGGTGGAAATCGAGCTGTTTGAAAAAGAGCATGATTATTTGCTACAGCTGAGGTTTAAAAAGTTTCCCTGTGTTGTACTTGGAGTCACCGAAGAGTTCTATCGTCAATCTGCTAAAATATTCTGGCCGTTACGGTTTGCATTGTACGCCAGTGGAGCACTTTTCATTATGGATCATCAGTTACCGACCGGAATAGCAAACAGGATAGAGCTTGTAAATATATATCTCCACAAAGCACAATCGTTCAACTATATGGAATGCTGTGACTACATTTCAGTATTGACATTGGAAACGATTGCTAACGTCTGCTACCGTAATCTTATCTTGATCTAGAATTGAATTGTATAAATGAATCAATATTATATTTCAGATTGGCGTTACAGTTTGCTAGGATATGTAAAATCAATTCAGAGGAAGGAATCTCCAGAATTACTGTATTTGATTATGAAAAGGAGAATATTAGGAGGTTATGGTGGCTGATCTACAGAGATTATGCATCTTTTCCGAGGCATTTAAAGTGCGGAACGATATCAGACACAGAGAATCAATTATTCTTGCCATCCGCCAATATTTATTTTGAAGTTGGCGCTGAAGGAGATTATTACGGAATGCAATTAATGTCAAGTGACGAATGGTACACTTGCAGTTTGCCTGATTTGGATGTGGAGGCATATCATTGCATAATTCAACGAATCCAAGTAAATGTGCATCGCTTTGTGGATATCGAACTAAATGGAAACAATCTCTCCTCAGTTTATTTCGCTGGGTGTATAAACGCATCACTAGTAGATTGGAAGAACTGTTTCAACCCTAAAATATCACATTCCAGATTTCTAATTCAGAATCGAATATCCAAAGATCAAGAACGCGCATGGTTTACAAAATATACTGAATTGGTATATTATAGTAGTAGAATGAATTTGGCTATCCCCACTTTTATGCGGAATATTATTGATGGTAAGAATATATTGGAGCAATTGTATTTCAAAGAAGCTATACAAGCAGCGATTGCTTGTGCAGAAACCGTACAGTTAATTCTTGATTATAATCCAGAGCTCAACTATATTGCCGTTATATCCCTGTTGACATTGTTTCCAGCTGGATTCTTGCTTTTAAGTTGTAAAAAGCTACATGTCGTCGATACTTCCAAAGCATATAACACTGTTTTGAAGGGTGTAATTCAATTTAGTAGAGCATTCCAGAAGATGAATCAATTTCGCAATATTCTCAAGCATATGGAAAGCCTGGATTTGATAGACTCGGTGATTTACTATGCGATATTCGTTGGGAGGCTGAAAGGCGAAATAATGGAACGGCCAGCCCCAAATCACGTAGAACTAATGGAAAGCCTCAATCTGAATAAATAAACTGTACATATTTTGATACTCTTATCCAGCGCTCCGGAAATATCAGATATTCCTGCCTGCCCTACAAATTCTTTATCCAGTGCCACAATTTTTGAAAAAATGAACTTTCGGAAGATAAGGTACTCTTGCGATAACTGTACCAAAATAGTAATACTCTGCTTATATAGAAACGCAAGTGTGATAGACTTCAGCCATGTTTGATCTGCGAAACCAAAAAGATTAAATGTGTGTATTCTCACCAGAAAGAACTCGACAGCCAACTGCAAAATTACGAGCAGAGGATAAAGCAATTAGAGAGCAATCTCCTCAAGCCCAGCTACAGCAATTTAGAATCGAAAAAACCCGAACCGTTATTGTTGCGAATTACGCTAACCAGAGAACTGGAAAAGAAGCTGTTTCTTCAGGACCATGGTTATCTACTGGATTTGCGGTTCAAGAAATTTCCTCCTGTGATTTTTGGAATGACCGAGGAGTTTTACAGAGAATCGGCGAAAATATTTTGGCCGCTTCGATTTGCTTTGTATGCAAATGGGGCTCTATTCATACAAGCCCATCAGCTACCCAAAGGAGTATCTGATCGAATTGAACTTGCAGTAATCTTCCTGCAGAAAGCGCAATCTTTCAATTTCGCCAGAAAATATGACTACTTGACTGTCCTCACACTTGAAACTATCACTAGTGTTTGTTATCGTAAAATTTATTTAACAAAGAAATCAAATTTTCTCGTTGTACAATATTGTACTATAAGCTGGCACTTCGGCATGCTAGATTGGCCGGTATCAATGATGAAAGAAAACTGGCCAAGATTACATTATTTGATTACGAAAGGGAAAATATCAGAAGACTTTGGTGGGTGCTATATCGAGATTATTCTTCGTTTCCTAAAATTCTAGTGGATTCAAGCATAGAAGATTGTGAAAATCAACTCTTTTTGCCCTCAAACAAATTCCTTTTTGAATCACCAACGCATATTGATTATTATGGAATAGAAGTAATGACGAGTAACGAATGGTACACTTGCAGTATACCAGACCTAGACATTGAGGCGTATCACAGTATCTTGCAGAGAATTCAACTAAAGACAAGCCGATATACTGATATGGTATTATCTGGTACATCCAATGACAGTTTGTACATAGCTGGGTGCATTAATGCCTCGCTAAAGGAATGGAGACTTTCATTTCTTCCCAAATCAAAGTATTATTTTAAAGTAATTACATCACGGCAGAATAAGGACAGGGACAGGGCGTGGTTTACTGTATATATCGCACTTTTGTTTTACAGTGTACGGATTAACTTGGTACTCCCAACCTTTATGCGGAACGTTATAAATGGAAAAGATGTTACCAGACAATTATACTTTAAAGAAGCGTTAGAAGCTGCCATCGCGTGTTCGCAACTAATTGACTTGATCAGTGTTTTCAATCCGCTATTGGAATACTTTGAAGTAGTTGCACTCTTAAAACTGTTTCCTCCCACATTCTTTTTACTCTGCTGCTCAAAGTTGCACATCGAAGGAGCTGAAAAGCAATTTAAAATGATGATTGAAGGGATAAAAAAGTTTAGTGTTGCTTTCCAAAAATTAAACCAATTTCATAATTTGCTGCTGCATATGGAATCTATGGATCTATTAGAAGCAGTCATTTACTATGGAATTTTTCTGGGGAGACAAAAGGAAGAACAAGTTGAACGACCTGCAGTATCACAGGAGGAGCTGGTTAGAAATATGATGCAGATACGTCTGGAGTAGCTAGTTAATATATTGTATTGTTGATTTATAATGTATATTTTTACACTAAATTTTACTCTCTTTTCCTTGTTCCAAATATTCACAGACGCAGTAAATTTTAAATTGAAAATGAAAGCTTCAAGAATTTCAAGTGGTATTAGAATGTCTACTATACAAAAGAGATGGGCTTCACTATACACAAATTGCATTAATTGTGGAAATCTGAAACCTACCTTTATCCAACTCTCAAAGACAGGTTTATCATTACCAACTATATTGTTTTTATGTTGAATTGTGTGGTGGTATGAACGGATATTTTAATCCGTTGTTTCACGACGCAACTCGTGATTGTGTAAGACCAAATTTGGGTGTCGCACAGGATTCCAAAAATTTAGTTTTTTTCTCTCGAGATGAAATACTCTTGTGATATGTGCATAAAAAGGGTATACAGTGACTAAATTAGAAGCGGAAATGCGACCGGATGAAACCATGTTCTTTTTGCACTTCAAAGAAACTTAATTGTATATACTCTGAACAAATGCAATACCACTTGTACATTACCAGTGTCGAAAGTAGAATAAAAAAAATGGAAGAATCCCTACTTCAGCCAAATAACTATGTTATCCAGAATGCGGAAAAAACTTTACCAACAGAATCCAACTTTACCCTCTCACCAGAGCTGCAAACGGAATTATTTGGAAAGGACCATGAGCACCTCCTACGGCTTCGGTTTGAAAGGTTTCCATGTACAATATTTGGGGTTACTGAAGGATATTATAGACAGTCAGCCAAGATATTTTGGCCATTACGTTTTGCATTATATGCTTCAGGAGCATTCTTCGTCAAAGACGATCAAGTCCCTAAAGGTATTTCAAACAGAATACTTTTAGTCAATATTTACCTACAGAAAGCGCAATCTTTTAATTATATGCAATCCCCAGACCATATTTCAGTTCTAACACTTGAAGTCATTTCCAACTTGTGCTATCGTAATTCTCTCTAACCATAGAGCTTGGATTTATAGATGAAGCAAAGGTTTACTTTAACTTGACAGTACACATTGCAAAGATGTGCAAGATTAACACGGAAGAAGGGATTTCAAAAGTTTCTCCATTCGACTATGAACGAGAAAATGTGCGGAGAATATGGTGGTTGCTTTATAGAAATTATTCTACTGCAGGTCATCTTTTCAGTGACGCAGTGATTAACGAACACGATAACCAGTTGTTACTTCCATCTTGTAATTTCTGCTTTGAATCACCTGGACCAGATGATTACTTTGGAGTTGATATCATGAATAGTGCTGAATGGCACACAATCACAACTCCCAATCTAAATTTGGATACATTACACATGATATTACAACGAATACAGGTTAAATTAAAGCAATATTTTGAAATGCATCTATCCAACAACAATTTATTATCACTGTATGCCGCTGGGGCGATCAATGCATCATTAACTGAATGGATGGAGTCATTTTTACCACAGTTTCGCATTCAC